ACGAATAGTGTGAATAGTCCGCGAATAGTCGACGAATAGTCCGCGAATAGTCGACGAATAGTATGAATAGTCCGCGAATAGTCGACGAATAGTACGAATAGTCCGCGAATAGTCGACGAATAGTATGAATAGTCCGCGAATAGTCGACGAATAGTACGAATAGTCCGCGAATAGGCGACGAATAGTACGAATAGTGCAATAGATACTTTGCAAGGCTTTGCAGCAGTGCTGTAGAACTAAATTTACCGGGCTCTGTTACGGAAACATGAAATCGTGAAAACATTCGTCGACGTACGTCAATGACGTCATACGTTATCGGTAAAAATTACGGGAACCACTGAGTATTTTAATAAAATATAAAATAACAGTAACTTCGAAAATAAACATTTTAATATTGTAGCTTTCGACTAAAATTCAGTCATCGTCAGGAAACATATTTCATATTTTTTAATTTATAATCATTCCTGATGGTAAGTGGTAACCATATGAGTCATAAATGTTACTGATGGAATTTTATAGGAATTTTACTTGTAAGTTATGGCGTTGTAACTGAAGATTTAAGGGCTTAAGTGCAGGGGCGCCGGAGCCACGGGGGCAGCGGGGGCAGCTGCCCCCATTGCTAAAACAGTGCGGGGGCAGCATGGGGGCAGCAGGTTGCCTTTTTTACCAGAACTGCACTTCGAACGTCGTGCGTTTTTCACATGAATTGAAATTGAAAACTGTTTTTAAACAATTTAGCTCATATTTGAATCTGAATTCCTCTCAGAAACGTTACCAATCAGTTTCCACCTATGAAAAAAAGGGAAAAAGAAAGCCTTCCTAAATAACTGACAACTGTCATGTTGCTTTACAATACATTTTAGTCTTTAGTGTCATGCAACGAATAAAAATGTTCCAATCCATGCCGAAATTTGTCTAACTGTATTAGCTGCAAGTAATGAAGTATCCGTTATACAGCAAAATGTTAACGAACATTGCCCCCCCCCCCCGCCTCATAAAAAAATTAAGGCTCAAGAGTAAGTGCCCTTTTTAAATGGCTGCCCCTGCCGCTTCATGTTGCTTCCGGCGCCCTTGGTACACTCCCTAATATGTTAAGGTGAAAATGTTCTAGAGTGTGTATTATATAATTTCCATACCCAGCGCAAGCAGAAAGATGTTGTCTGCCGCGGCTGGGTCTCGAACCCGCGACCTTCGAATTATTGACATTCAGTATATATATATATATATATATATATATATATATATATATATATATATATATATATATATATATATATATATATATATATATATATATATATAGTATATATATATATATATATATATATATATATATATATATATATATATATATATATATATATATATATATATATATATATGTTATATATATATATATATATATATATATATATATATATATATATATATATATATATATATATATATATATATATATATATATAAGAGAGCTTTGAAGATCGTAAACAGTTTTTACATAATTTTCCCCAGCTAAATCCAGCCTATCCAGGTATTTAAACACAAATACTAAAGTAATTATTTCTAGGTTAAGCAGGAAACAGTTTAAAGTGTGGTCTTTTTATATCGTTCGACTACAATAGCTTGTATATTCAGCGCTTAAAACATGAAAATGCTCCAGGATTTAAACTTTAAATTGCAGAATGGTATAACGACATTGTCAAGCAGTTGTCTTTTGTTGTGAACTTGTGGAAAACACTACTTAGCTAGATTATTTAGCAACTCTTTCTTGGTGTTCATTAGTTACATATACAGGGTGTATAAAAAAAAACTGAATAGATTTGAACTGATTGCTCTCAATTTCGCAAAACAGTCATTAGTATCCAGTTTTTTGAACTATATAGGGTAGATTTTTGGGTACTTAGGCCTATTAAAGGTAGAATAATGAAAAAAATTTCTCGAACTCAAATTTTGTTCAAATTTTGTCGAACTCAAATTAATTGGCAATTCCAGCTTTTAATTTATGCATGCAGGGGGCGATGGGAAGTAAGGGACGGACCATTTGATTTTTGATGGGGGGGGAGGGGGGGGGGCCTCAAAAAATATCGGGCAAGCAATTCGAACTTTAAAAAAATATCGTGCAAGAATAAACGGACGAAAAAAAATATCGAGCAAGACTTTCGAGTGGTAATCCTTATTTGCCATTCGGTGCATTTCCGCGTGTAGCCCAGGGCCGCGTGTAGCCCTAGCTGGGGGCTGCAAGGTCCAGGAAATGGCATTTCAGAGACTCTAAATTTAAAAATTTCCTCGGGCCTTCGGCCCTCGCTTTCGGCCCCCCAAATCAAAAAGAGCTTCCTAAAGCCCTGTAGCCTAAATAATGGAGGACCAGTATCATTCCAAAAATGGTTGTTCTTTATTAGTTTCTTTACTCCGATTCCTATGATGAACATGTACGTAAAAAACTGAGAAAAACTACGATTAAATCACGGCCATAGAAACTATAATAGGTGAAATTTTTATGGGACACGATCAAAGGCGAGGATATAAGAGCTAGAGATTGAAATTGAGTAGGAATAGCGTACAAGGGTATGCATTTCGACCTAATAGTTTTCTTCAGTAGGGTTTTTTAAGAGGGGAGGGGTGTAGATATAATTTGAAGAGGAGAAGGAAGGAGAGTTTATAGGAGTTCGGAAAATAATGTGAGACAAAGAGGAAAACAAATTTTACAAAATAACTGAAAATAACCAATTACACAGTGAAAGGATGTAACGACTATACATGTTATTAGTCAAGTTATCCTACCAAAGGTCTTGTTGTTTGCGGGACATTCCAACACTACGCACTTTATTGTTCATCGTTCGTATTGGTGAAGTGAAGCAAATTTGCAGGTCCTTTAATTAAGGGTTAACTTACTCAATGGTATAGTGAGTTTGAATGATTGTGATGGTAAGGGTGATCATGTGACTGTAGGTGATTGCATCCAAATATGGTGTTAGTGGTGTAGGAGCTTATAAGACAGGGATAGGGGCGTTTGGCAATTAGTGATACATAAGGGATAAAAATAATGATAACACCGTGTATGGTTTGATTTTTTGTTTAAAATATATGAGTAGTGGTGTAAGTGACAGTGGTGTAAGAGTACTGGTGTAATAATTAAAACATGTACATAATTATATAACAAAACCAAAACAGAGATTAGTAAAAGAATGATACGATATGACCAATAGATAGCTATAGCTAGTTCTGATGTGGATTTTGCTACGTAGAGGATCAAAGTTCACATTATTTTCCGAACCCCTAAACTCTCCTTTCTTTCCTGTACCCCCCCCTCCCTTAAAAAAAACATGCTGAAGAAGACTATTTGGTCGAAACGCGTGTAGGGTTGCTTTTCCTACTCAATTTCAATCTCTCACTCTTATATGCTCACCTTTTGTGGAGTCCCATAAAAATTTCACCTACTTTACCTCGTAGTTTCCCTAGTTTTTTTACGTACATGTTCATCATAGGAGTCGGAGTAAAGAAATGGAGAACAACCATTTTTTGAATACTGGTCCTCTCATTATTTAGGCTACACAATGTCTTACACCAGTACTTGTCCAATTACCTATAATATACCAAAAAATGTAAAAACAAAAAACTAAAAAATGATGTATATGCATGCATACAAAAAAATATCGTGCAAGTCCTCTGACTGACAAAAAAAAATCGAACAGTGTCAGGAGGCGGAAAAAAAATATCGAGCAAACTGAAAATCTACCCCCCCCCCCATCAAAAATCAAATGGGCGTCCCTTAGATGACTAATGTTACCGCTGATTGGGATCTGGAGCCATTTCCGGATGTATTTGGAAATTATAGAGTCCAGATTAGAATGTATCCAGCTTATAGTAAGCGGGTAGATTGAAAAACGCCAGAAGAACTTTGAGTAGACATAACTTTGAACCACGCGTATTTTGGAAAAAGGATTTATTGGGATAAGATCAATTTTCTTTAAGTAGTGTTGGATTTCATCAAGGATCTCAATTTTGGTTTCAGTACAATCCATTTCAAAATTGAATTGTTTACCTAAATACATAAAACTTTCACCGTCCTCGATTGGGGGAACCTGTTGACCAGAGATTTTTATAGTAGATTTATACTGGACTGCTTTTGTCCCAAACTTTTTGATCTCAAAAGTGTGGAACTTATTTACTCGGATATATAAGTCTGCCCAAGAGGACCATTTACTAAATGCATTACACAGTAGTTGATTGTCTTCGTTATGTGCAGATATAATTGCAGCATCGTCCGCAAATTGGAGCCAATGACGAGGGTTTAAGGATATATCATTAACATAACCAAGGCACTGTATCGTTTCATCATTTATCGTGTTAATGAGTGAATTCACGCATAAATTGAAAAGCAATTAAGGGGGACAAACAGTCTCCCTGCAGTACGCCCCGTTCTACAGATATCGGAATGGTTATAAAATTCTTCGTCAAGATTGAGATACCATAATCAGTGTAAAGGTTTTCTATCATACCAGTGATTTCGTCAGGAATGTGGTGACTTTTTAATATAGATTTTATCAGGTTATGGTGCACTTCTCCAAATGCGTTTTTGAGATCGATTAGAGTGACAATGATAGACCGCTGCTTATAATAATAATGGAAACTTTATTTTGACATTTTATGTATATACAATTATAAATCTCACTAATTAAGGTAATTTATAATTGACTACTTGAACTATTAATTATTGATAAAACTATATTACAGGTATAAAACTAAGAGAAAGCTCATTCTTAAATGTTCATCAAGTCTGGATCGGTCCAATCCTTGTTCCTACAACAAAATATATAGTACGTTGTTCTGATGGACATTATTTTCTTAACACAAAAGTTCTGATGTTTCTTATCAAGACCAACTTCGTTCAACATTTTCATAAACGTGCTACATTCTTTTGAGAAAACACCTAAGGCACCAATAGACAAATTAATAAATTTTACAGTTTTGAAATGGTCTTTCTGCTGCGTAATTAGATCCTTGTATCTTTCCCTTTTGCGATCAACGTTGTTTTGGAGATTGGATTCATATCCGACAGAGAGTTCGAGTATGTACAGACAATCATTTGAAATCGAAAGAAGCAGATCTGGGCGATAAGTGTCACCGGTTATTATTGATGGGCTCTTGTATCCAGGAAGATCAACAAATAGCGTGGAGTTGTGTTCAGGTTGGAATATTTTTGCGACAAAATTGAGAATGGAGTCATGTCTCCAAGTAAATCGTGGAAGGTATGACTGGCATCCCGCGACCACATGCAGAAGGATTTCAGGGTTCAGGCAGAGGGAACAATCCCAGTTTGACATTATTCCCCATTTTGTGAGGTTTTTGCGTGTGGGAAGTGGGTTGTTGATGTAACGGATGGTGAAGTTATAGATGCTTTTAGGCAAGCTGGATTGAAATTTGGATCATAGGTTGTTTAGTGTAGACAACGAGAACTTGGTGGTGTTAGAGAAAAAGGAGCCTTGGAGAAGCAGATGATTTTGAAGCTTGTCCTCTTGTGCAGATGTGAAACTTTTAAGAACTTCCTTTGTTGAGGTGTAGACGTCGTTCTGTATGTTAGTATTGTTGCAAGTTGATTTCCATAAATTAATTTCTTATACAATCATTTGGAGAGGTTTTTAAGGCTTTACCAGAGACTGTTTGGGACTGAGTGAACTTGATGGATGGAGGGTATATATTTAGTCCAAATTTATTACTTGTGAGGAGGATATTACTTAAAGTTCCAGATACGGGTATTTCAAGCCATTTCCGTACGAATTTATTCACTACTGAGTCCATGTTTTCAGAAACCCACGTTTTTGATAAGGTAGCGACAGTAAAATGCCAGGAGAATTTCGATAGGAGATAACGACTATAGAGTAAAATTTTTTTCTTTGGGTGTAGCGGTTTGAGGTCAATTTCTGACATGATATCTTCAAGGAGGGTGATTAGTTCTTGTTTGTGATCTTTGTCAGACATATTGAAATCAAAATATTTCCCTAAGTATCGGAAAGACTCTCCTATTTTAGTGGCCGGTATTAATTTATTGTCAATGAGGAGTCTTGGTAGGTATTGGTTTGATTTTGCCAGACTTTTCTTAATGCCAAATCTACTACATTTGTCGACTCGAGTAATCATGTTTGACCAGTGACACCAGATTGAGAAGCGATTTAAAAGGTGCTAATTTTCGCTCTCTTGGCCGCTAATAACGGCTGCATCGTCAGCAAACTGGAACCAATGGATTGGATTTAAAAATTTGGTCATGAAACCAAATTGCCGGTATTTATCAGCTTTAATGTGCTGAATAAAGGTGTTCAAACACATTTTAAAAAGTAAAGGACTAAGACAGTCTCCTTGAAGTACACCTCGGCCAACAGTTATGAATGGGGTAGAGAATTCGGCAGTTATAATTGTGGTCTTGAAGTCAGTATACAAGCTCTTGATAATTTCATTAATCTGTTTGGGAATATGATGATAATCGAGGACAGATTGAATGAGATTATGATGCACTTCACCAAAGGCGTTTTTAAGGCCAAGAAGGATGATGACAACAGAGCGTTGTTTTATTCTCGCTTGGTTGATAATGTTTGTCATTTGAGCTGTGTGTTCCAAAGTGCCAGACAAATTGGAAGTGAAGCCTTTCTGAATCTTTTGTTCAATGAAATTATTAGCCGTTAGAAAGGAGAACATGGCGTTGCGAAGATATGAGGTAAACACTTTTAAGGGTATGGATTCCAGAGTAATAGGACGGAAATTGGAAGGGTCATTTGTATTGCCCTTTTTGTGTATAAGTACAAAGCATGCTTTTTTCCATTCGGCAGGTACAGATTTTGAAGACCAAACGCTACGTATTACTTCTGTCAAGTACGTACGGAGAAATGGACATCGTTTAAAGCAAATTATTGAAAGTTGATCGATCGGGCAAGGTGAGGCGCAATATTAATAATAATAATAATAATAATAATAATAATAATAATAATAATACTAATAATAATAATAATAATAATAATAATAATAATAATAATAATAATAATAATAATAATAATAATAATAATAATAATAATAATAATAATCTGTTTAATTAATCACATTGCAGTAGAGACTGAATTACATGATTATAAGTAAATACATTAAAAATTAAATTTACAGATAAAATTGAGTTCAAACTGTTCAATGTTCGTTCTGAAAGTCAGTTTAAATCTGTCCACAAATTATAATTGGGTACCTGAATTTACACGAGTACTACTAAATCAATAATACCTTGAAACCGTTCTGTGTTCATTTGGAGTGACCAGCTTGATTCGGACCTAAGATTATATTAGGAGTAGTTGGATGTATACGAGAGGCAACAACATCCTTAGGAAGATTTATAGAACCATTGTCAAGCTTCAATTTCCGGATAAATTGTTCGCATGAATTATGTCTACGTGTACTTAACTTTTTTAGACCGGTATAATTCAATGCGTCTTGATACGACATTTCGGGAAGCAAGATACGTAATGCTCTTCTCTGTATCGATTCGATAACGTCAGACTGGCCTTGGGTTAGTGTTGACCACGCTGGCGAAGCGTACTCAATTCGGGACCGAATGAAGGACGAATATATAGTGACAAGGTCTTTATCGCTTAACCCAGCCTTTTTTAGCATGCATAGAGTCTGGAATTTGCTTTTTTAATCACGTAGTCAACATGATCACACCGAGATAGATCCTCTCTCAGCAGCACACCGAGCAGTTTAAAGGAGGATACTGATTGCACTGGCGAACCATCTATATAGATCGCATTATCAAGTGGAAGGTGGTATTGGAGGAAGGATATTATCATCTCCTTACATTTCTTACTGTTAAGCTTCATTCCTCTACTTGAAGCATACTCAGATACATCATTTACGAGGATATAGGTAGCAAGCTAGGAGAACAACGTGGAACAATTTGTAGTGCCGTAGCATCGTCTACAAACTTTATCCGCCCATTCCAGTCCTGCATGTAGGAAGAAATTGACTAAAATGGCAAAGAGAAGAGGCCCAAGTTTAGTTCCTTGCGGTAGGCCACCGTTAACGGGTTTCCACGAGGAAGTGGATGATCCGATTCTTACACACTGTTCGCGGGAGGTAAGTCCTGAACAACTTTATCCATCTTATAATGACAGGACTCACTTGTAATTTTAAAAGTTCATCAATAATGACATTATGGTCGACGAGATTAAACAAGATTCTTACAGATCTGACGAACATTTTCCTCCCTCCAGCTGCCTTCATAAGATATTTAGTCGTAACTCGGTGAAAGTCAGTTACAGCTGTATGGATAATTGCAAGAGCATAATTTCTAAACATAACACCAGAATACTATCAAGAACGAAATCGACAACCCAAACAACATCGTCAACAAATAGCGCCATATGAAATTGTAATAATAGCAACGAATGTCCTCTCCGGAAGAAATGCCTATTAGACTGCATAGTTTATAAAGCAGAGGTCGTAACGAGCAATTCGGAACCGAAAGAATGAATTGGCATGCATTCCCGTCATCACAGGGGAGGATCTAGGATTTTTCGTACGTTAGTCAAAAATTTCGTTGCTGAACATTGGGGGAGGGGGGTACTTTTGAGTGGGGGAGGTACTTTTGGCGGCGGAGGGGGGCGGGGGGGGGGGTTGCCAAGCAAATTAATATTTTTTATATGTGTTCTGTTTACGAAAAAATGTAACTTAAAAAATTGCTTTTTCGCCCAATGTCAAACAGATATCCAATTCTCATCGAGAAATAGATTGACAAGGATGACTTGACGTTTTAAAAATTGTTATTTAATCGCATATTATTTGCTTTGACATGGATGGTCAAAACATTTTGCAATATAGTGATGCAATATAGGAAGAGAATTTCCACGTTTAATTCACTGCTCCTCGAGTTTCATTCGTAGCAGGAACATACGCCATGAATAAGTATTCACAAAGGCAACATGATCCATTTTACTTGTTGTGTACATGATGTAGAGATCGTATTACACAAGGCCATGCTACATTGTCGTGTTCTTGTAGTTTAAAATGACTAAAATAGGCTAGGTATAAATAACACAGTGTTATTAAGTAGCTATCTGATTAATATATAAAGTCCACATGTCACAAGAAGCATAAACAAAGTATAAACACACTGAAACTGCCTGTATTAAGCCGCAGTACTATTTATGTAAATTGACGGAAATATTATGTAAATTTCGTCTCGTATTATTATACGTCTTATAACGGGTATCCGCCGATATTATAGCATGTGCGTACAGACGCACAATCCACCACAGTATACAACAGTTATAATGCTATATCTAGTTAAAATGAATATATATCTTAAGGCCGTACAAAAGATTTTTGTCTTCTCCCGAACGTACTTCAGGATGTAAGATTCCGCACCAAAATTTCGTGCGAGGAAGGCTGCTTAATATGTCGAGGCTTATGTTATTCACAACGCTCACTAAATCTTTAATAGAAAGCTTCGGTACACTGTTACTCGCTTGTTTAAATCAGCTTCAATATCTTTGACATTTTGTCGATCGTCCTTCTCTAAAGCAGCCTTTACGGTTTCGTAAATACTAACAGACATGGCTAGTATTAGTTCAAAATTTCTGATAGTAAATCTTCCCATTGAACTTTAATAATTTGCGGTCAAGCACAAAGTAGCGATCAGAAAGGGCCAGAAACGTCATAGACCTTTCCGTGCACTAATAAAGCCTGAACGGTATGATCGATCAAAAATATCCAGCCAATGGGAATTCAGGATTGTTTTGAATTAGCCAATCGGATAGCCTGTATTCGAGCCCCTGATCGCTTTAGCGATCAGAACTCCCCACAGATCGCGCAAAAATCGAGATAGCCAATCAGATGACTGGAATCTGACTCAAAGCGTGCAAAACTCATGCGTAAGACCGCTTTTCTGCGCGTTCATGTTCGAAGGCCTTGCTACTGAATGATATTTCAAAACTGGACTGTTAAACTTTCAACACATTACAGTGCGCGAAGTTTGATAACTGGACTGCTATTTTAATTTAACAATTTTCTATTTTTCTGGCCAATTTTTACCTTAGTCGCGTGATCGCTCTGATCACCCCTAGATCCGCCCCTGCGGCGTCATCATGGGAAACACCTTCAAGAAACGGTTATATAACCACAACAAATCATTCAATAACGTTACATACAGGAACAATACAGAGCTCTCAAAATACGTGTGGAACTTAAAGGAAAAGCAGCAGGACTTCACGATTAATTTGTCTATTCTGAAAAGAGCAGCCTCGTATTCTAGCGGTGGAAAGAGATGTAACCTTTGCCTCCAAGAGAAAGTTTGCATTCTAAAAGCGGATAGGCTCAAACTTGCTGAATAAGAGACGCGAGTTGCTCTCGAAGTGCGTTTACCAAAAACGATTCTTGGCCGAAAAATTTGAACGTGCGCAAGCTCAATCACGCAAGGAAACTCAGTCACGCAAGCAGCACAACGGATATCATAGTATCAACACCACCACAGAGTAAGGATATACAGAGGCGGAACTCGAGGCAAATCATGTCCCCACTTTTTTAATGCGCATGTGCGACCCTCTGGCAAGTGTCATGCACATTTTTTATCAGGAAATAGATAGGAAAATGCAAAATTTTGGCAATAAAACGGCGATTTTAAGCGCAGTAATCGATCGATCTTCATTTTCTGCACGAATTTTGCAAATAAATGGCACACCGCGTCTTCTTAGCAAAAGGGAATTGAACGAATATCATTTTTAACGGCGAAAATGAGAAAAGACACCCGAAGGAGTGAAAATTTCTGGCAATCTGAAGATTCGATTCTGTAGACCTGAACTCCAGCTGGAACTTGGCAACTTTATATGCGAGTTTTGTTTTCTCTAGCTTATATATATATCAAATTATCAATATATTTTTGTCAAGTGCAATGTTGTGTCAAAGGCTAGGGTTGTCGTTAATTTAAACATCGCATAAACAGCATTCAGATACGAAAATGAACATCAACATTCAACATGGACTGATGGAGTCAAGGACATGGAGCCACAGTACTCCAAAGTACTCAAATAGACTTTATTTAACTTATATGTTAACCCAATGGTGGAGGATTGGTCAAATTATACTTTATAGTGATTCCCCTAGATTAGTGCATTGGCTATTGTGCAATAACAACCTTTTTTCGGCTCTCAAAAGTCAATTTCTCAGACATGCCAAGTCACCGTACATATGTTTATTGTAATAATCTAATCTGTTTATTTATTTTGCTTTCCTAGATTACCAATCATTCCTGTTGAACTACATTATTCATTACAATGAATCAGATGCAGAATCTTACAACTATGGTTAATTTGTTCAAATCTGTTCACCTGATTGGAAAAACCTGAGACTATTTGATCTTATAGGAATGCCTACCAATTTTACATAGCCTCGGGCAATGTTTATATAATTAATCTCGAGTAATAGAGATGCTGTACCCCCTGAGGGAGTAACCCTACTACCTGGATTATCCCACTAGACAAGACAAGTTCAAAATTTTCCATGCAAACACTTGCATGGCAGTTGCTATAATAGGACATGAATATAATTTTGCCTTGCCACTCGGAGACCATATAAACAGGCCTTATGATGGCCACAAGTTCATCAGTACTTCATACTATTAAGTGTCACCCTCTTTAAATAAAGTCTCTATCTATCCATCTATCTATCTATCTTTCTATCTATCTATCTATCTATCTATCTATCTATCTATCTATCTATCTATCTATCTATCTATCTATCTATCTATCTATCTATCTATCTATCTATCTATCTATCTATCTATCTATCTATCTATCTATCTATCTACTATCTATATCTATCTATCTATGCCTTCAGATTACTGTAATAGTTAAATTGAGGGTTCAAAAAAGCAGCCCCCCCCCCTATGCAACTAAAAGTGGTGGGCCTGCTCCCCAAATCCAGCCCCCCCTTGGAAGATGTACTGTAAAGCTAGACAATTTTACTTGTTAACCCATTGAGTCACATTGCACCCTACTTTATTATTTTACTGTCTAACACCAGACGATCCAGTTAACCCATTGAGTTGCATTGTGCCCTGATGCACCCTACTTTATTATTTTACTCTGTCTAACGCCAGATTATTTTACTCTGTCTAACGCCAGATGATTTTACTTGTCAAGGGGAGAGCACACTTTAACAGGGAAAGGATTAATTGGGAATACTTTCTCTTTTAATGGAAACTCTTTATCAATGCAATGCAATTATTCATAGTATTTAACTTTTTATATAAAGCAAAGACTAAGAGGAACTTTGGCTACTTTTTTATTTAGTATTAATTTTCATGACAACATGTGGGGTCAACTATAAAGAAAACAGTTATTGCCTATTTTGGAGTGAGTTATTAGACATTATTTGAACACATATTTATTTAGTTTTTGAATAATTGAAGTTCTTAAATGTATATAATGTGAAATAAATAAACAACATTTATTAAAATAAACTTTGTATTTTTAAACCCCAATTACACTGTAGTATTTAATACATTTTACTGTAGTATTTACATTGTCAGTAGTAATTACACTGTAGTATTTACATTACAAGACCAAGATCCTCTGGAGAACTTCTTTGCACTCATTAGGCAGCAGGGGGGAAATTGTGACAACCCATTAGTCCCATCCAGATCACCAGAGCATTTTGCAAATCATTTGTAGATAATATTTTGACACCGCTTTCAATTGGCAACTGTGCTGAAGATTCTGATGCCTACTTACTTGATTACATTTCACTCTAGCAGGGGCGTAGGAAGCACCTGAAGTTTGGGGGGGGCACCGGCTTGTAGGGGCACATTACTATCGGAAAGGGCACCTAAAAATTTTTTCCCGGAAATGTTGTCGACGGGGGGGGGGGCAGAAATTTCTCCTGAGGAAAATTTTCCGTCGTATCATACCGAAATTTATGTTTGTGACCTAATTTTTAAAAAAAATTTGTAAATTTCCACACAAAAACGTCACCTATTGTTTTAATTTAGTATTTACAGCGACATTAGCTTCTACAAAAGGGGCACTTTTCCTCACAAAAAAGGGCACTTTTCAACACAAAAAGGGCACTTTTTATCACAAAAAAGGGCACTTTTAGTCCGTTAAAAAAATTTGGGGGGGGGGCACGTGCCCCCCGTGCCCCCCGCTTCCTACGCCCCTGCACTCTAGTCAATCTGATTTATCTGCAGGAAATGATCCGACAAGCCCACACTAATCCAAGCAGTCGAAGATACCGACTACAAAACAAATGAAATTGAACAAAACGTAGACTGCATGAATGCATTAACTTATGTGTCAAGCTATTTATTAAGGAAGTGCCTTGTCCAACATTATGCTAATTATGCCATCATAATTTTGTGACAAAGGATGTCAATGACAGTTCTGTTATTCTGCATGTTCAAGACCTCTGTCCTTTGAAGGCATAAGTAGTACAGGGGGATTAACAATCCGTAAAGAAATGTTTCTTTGCTGGAGAATACATTTGTGAATGTGCTTAATAGTTGCACAGAAAGTATTAAAAACATAGGTAGTTTAACTTTTAATTTTTGCTCACAAATCCCAAAGCTACATGGAACCTTATGGAAGTGTTTCAAATCAGCACCCATGCTTTCTTATTAATGTAAAAGACAGGAAACCAATACGTTTGGCCATTAATTTAGCGAAATGGGAATCTGCTTCTTGGAAGAACATGACAAGCACCGAGATTGTAAAATATGGCCATGCAGTACAAAGTTTATACTGTTTTTTTTCTTTGTATTTAGCCTATAAACATATATCTTTTTACATAAAAATAACCACTTACCATTTATCTTTCAAATTTGAGACCCAAAATGAAGATCGGTGGAGCAACTTCGCAAAAATATTTATTTTTCTACTTTCGAACGGTGTTTTTCCTATGCTTTTGACTGAAAACACGACGAATGACACTTGCCAGAGCAATTTGCTTGGCGCGTGGAAATGACGTTGCATGGGGACACAAAGAACAAAGGAATCGCCGCGAGTTCCGCCTCTGTATACTCTGTGACGCCACCAAGCAGGAAAAGTTAGTTGAACATACATCGTCGCCTGAACATCGTGAAAACGTGAAACTCAGCGTTGCGACTCATTAATTTGAATATATATTATATAACATTTAATTTTCCGTGCGATATTGACAGAAATACAAGTGTTTGAAGTTGTGAGGAGTTTTTGAAAATCGCCGCATCAAACTAAATTGAAAGCAGTTGTCACTTTACATGGAATCTTTTTAACTTCAGTGATTTTATCTTTAATTTTGGATTATTCCCTTTATTCCCTTAAATTTACTTTAAAAATAAAAATTACACTTAAAGATTGATTCTTACTAGGTATAAAACAAAGTAATAATTCACATTAAACGAAAGTTTCATATGACGTCCCTTGGGAATCAAATTGGCAATGAAATAAACTTTGCATGTCGATTAGATTTTTATTCCTAAAGTTAACAAAAGACCAAAGAGTTCGGATTTGTATCGACACGCTTTTTCTGATGAGTAAACTCATATTAGTCCACTCTTTTGTACATAATTTCATAAAGGCATTCTTTTAGCTAGAATAATAATAATCAAAAACTAAATTGGAATTTGATATGCTGTTTTATGCCAATTTTTAGCTTTTCAGAAAAGTTAGTTCAACTTTGAACTAACTAGGTGTGTCAATATCGAACTAGATAGGTGTGTCAATATCGCACGAAAAATCAAAATCTAACTTAATCCTTTGTGAATACAATGCTTTTTATTTTAGTGAAATAGCTGTAATAGGTTTTACGGTACATGAAATCAAACAGGGTATAGCTTTTTTTGGGACACCCGGTATATTACAACAAGTTTACAATCAATTAAAGTGCCACTGCGATGGAAAATTGTGCTGTCTTTTTATTGTATATTCAGAAAGTATGTCTGTAGATAAACAAAATTACCAAATATCAGCGTCCAATTCCATTTCCTTCTGCCTTTTTTTTCAACGCAAACATGCAAATTTTTCGGCCGCCATTACTGAGTTGCCAATTAGCGAGATGTTGATTTCTTAGCCGGATGTGACGTCATTTACTCAACACGCTTCTTTCCCGAAGGAGAAATTAATATTATCAAAGGCTTATTCTAGGCTGTTTTTTGTTCAAAATTATGTCTTCTGACGAAAGCCACAGCTCAAATTTTGCAACACAATCATCTTGCGAACTCTCTTTTGCCGAAGACGTTTCTTGTGATAGCGGGGGTGATGTAAATATGGAGAAAAGTGTGGATTTGTGCGAGGCCTATGATACTTCAGTCGAGGCTCTTGCCACTGAAAAAACATAATACACGAAAAGTACTATAACTGACAGAGAGCAAGAGCAGCAAACACGGTCTGCTGGATTGTCTGCGGAAACCTTAACGGGCACCTGGTACGTTTTGGATTGTATTTATTTACGTTTTGGTTTATATATTTGTGACATAAAACAAACATGTGATGGCCATGTTTAACAAAACAAATGGTCACTGGTCTCCTTATAAAAAATCATTGTCACCTCCGTTATATTGCACGAAACGTCTTCAATGAGAGATGGCTTAAAGATGACTGTGTTGCCAAACTGGAAATCCTAACTCACGTAGGAACACATATTAATTTGCACAAAGTTGTGGGAAATATATTTCAATTATATATATTAATAAATATATTATAAACTTCAATAGTATACTTCAATAGTAACTGTGTCCTGGCTCATTGTTGTTTATGTGAACCTTGTGAGAAAAAATGCTGGAAGAAAACATGCATGACCAGCATTTGATATTGGTTGTATTTGAATACCTTCTGGAAATATCAAGACTTTTAGTATACCCCCATTCCATTGGAAATCTTGATGCAATGGTCAACACCACCCCCTATCCTCTTGAATTTCCGATCTCTTCTGTAGCAGTGTGGGGGGGGGGGATGGCTATTTCCTGGAACTATGCAATTTGACTGAGTCATGTAGGAGTAATTTTTGGCATTAAGCATTCCCTCAAAAGGCAACCCCCAGACATATTTGCATGTTTTTCTTTAAAAAGAATGACTACCAGGTAGGTTGGTGAGAAAAAGAGCACTCCCTACTCTGGCGATGAGTGGTAAGAAATTCTCATCAGCCAGGGGCAGCCAAACTGATACAATGTCATGATCTGAGTATCATATTCTGAATTTAGTAATGTTCGAATCCCTGTAAAGGTGAGCAAGGTACTGAAATATCCTGTCATGTGAACAAGAAAACTTGAAAGCCTATAGCTAAGTTATATGTAAGCCAAACAAGGATCTTGTATTATGAATCCTGGTGTTTTTGTGCAGAACACAGCTCACAAATAACATGATAGTTTTTGGATTACTAAATTTTAAAGCTGTCATGTTAATATATAAATTTTCTTTTTGAAAGTATGTTTCTTAGGGCAGTTGCATATCAAGTAGTGAAGCTTGTGTGGAGCTGTATACCAACGTTAACAGTTCAAGAAGGTACCCCCTTCCTTGCTGTGCATATGCCAAGATACGGTTTCTGTCTTGTTTATGTGAACAATGAACATTTTGCCGAGATATTTTTAAAACACCGACATCATGCTTGAAAGTATGATAGTAGTAAAAAACTGTTTAGAATTTCCATAGGGGTGGGGGAAACAAGCTGTCAGTGACAATTAGAAAAATCTACAGGGGTGGGGGTTCATAATTAACTAAATCTCTTCCATTAGCAGGAAGTTTTAACACCCAATGTTTCAAACAACCAATATCAAATGCTGGATGCTCAGTTTAATAAGCAGCAGTCATGTATGTTTTCTTCCAGCATTTTTTCTTACAAGGTTCACATAAACAACAATGAGCCAGGACACAGTTACCACATTTATACCTATGGATCATTAATATATTAAAGTATACTATTGAAGTATACTATTGAAGTATATAATATATTTATTATAAATATATATAATTGAAATATATTTCCCACAACTTTGTGCAAATTAATATGTTTTCTTACGTGAGTTAGGATTTCCAATTTGGCAACACAGTCATCTTTAAGCCATCTCTCATTGAAGACGTTTCGTGCAATATAACGGAGGTGACAATGATTTTTTATAAGGAGACCAGTGACCATTTGTTTTGTTAAACATGGCCATCGCATGTTTGTTTTATGTCACAAATATATAAACCAAAACGTAAATAAATACAATCCAAAACGTACCAGGTGCCCGTTAAGGTTTCCACAGACAATTCAGCAGAAGTGTTTGCTGCTCTTGCTCTCTCTCAGTTATAGTACTTTTCGTTTCAGTGGCAAGAGCTTCGACTGAAGTATCATAGGCCTCGCACAAATCCACACTTTTCTCCATATTTACATCACCCCCGCTATCACAAGAAACGTCTTCGGCAAAAGAGAGTTCGCAAGATGATTGTGTTGCAAAATTTGAGCTGTGGCTTTCGTCAGAAGACATAATTTTGAACAAAAAACAGCCTAGTATAAGCCTTTCATAATATTAATTTCTCCTTCGGGAAAGAAGCGTGTTGAGTAAATGACGTCACATCCGGCTAAGAAATCAACATCTCGCTAATTGACAACTCAGTAATGGCGGCCGAAAAATTTGCATGTTTGCGTTGAAAAAAAAGGCAGAAGGAAATGGAATTGGACGCTGATATTTGGTAATTTTGTTCATCTACTGACATACTTTCTGAATATACAATAAAAAGACAGCACAATTTTCCATCGCAGTGGCACTTTAACAAACAAGTATAAAACATTTTCCACGAGTGTTGAGGATATAACTTATATTCAACGCGGAAAAGATGTTTTATCCCCGAGCCGGCGGCGCGAAGCGCCGTGCGAGGGTACTAATTCCCCCCGGCTATTTACACCCGGGGAAAGGAAAGCATTAGCGGAGTCTAAAGTTCATCAAATATCGCGGGCGTGGGTGACCAACGGTGTTGAGTGGGTGGTCATCCTCACTGATCTCAAAAATATGGCGGAATGTCACGAATAGCGGACACTGATTGGTCCAATTTAAAGTTTGCATTATAACGACTGCATGACGACAGCGAAATAGCAAACATTTCTTGATTTGATGATTGATAAATTTCTTGCAAATATATTTCATTTTTCCTCGCATTTTTGCAAGATTTTGTAAATTTCAAAAGCTCTCTTAGAAGGAAACTGCGAAAGAATCGGCTAAAAGAAGGGAGCCGACGTTAACGAAGGTAAGTTTGTTTTAAATATTGATTTTAGAATGGATTTAAAACCCGACGGCCGGCTTTGCGTACATGAAACAACAAAACAAGACAGCATATAATTTCAGTATATCTTTAATATTGATTCCCTTTTTTATGACATTGAATTTTTTAAATAAAAAAAGAAAGCAAAGTTATTTGCAAGCGAGAATTTTAAATCATTTTATTGCAAACTCAAAGTTTATCGATAAAGCCGTTTTAAAAGACAGTTTAATTTTATAAAGAACACTAGTGACTTTAAAACGTTTTGCGAAGCGTTTGTGGTTGAATTTTACCTTAAATTGAGGCTTATAATACGTATAACAACATACCTAACATATATATGTCGGGAAATTAATAATTTTGTAATTAAAAGTGGCATTTTTAGGCGATTTTTTATTTGTAAGAATATTCTTAAAAAATTAACGTGTTACCATGACAACTACTTTAGATATTTCATGTTCGGAAAATACAACGGTTTTGTCAGCAAGGCGAGGGTTTCTGCATGCATGTATTTTCTAGTATATTTTTTATAATATAGCCCAAAAAAATATAACTGAAAGACATGTACATTTTCCGTGTTGATATTGATGGCAATGACTGGATTGACAGCAATGACTGGAATGAATTGCCCCAAGAAATTCGTGAAGCAAAAGACCTTCAAACTTTTAAAGCCTACTTAAATAGCTTTATTGATACCTAGTTTTAATTATCCTTATATATTTAGCCTAGTTTCTAAATAGCATTACTATACTGATAGTCAGTCGGCCAAGGTGGCAAAAAGTGCCTCTAAAGAGAGTTTGATGGCAACTTTATGTTAGAAGCTGGTAACAGGCATTTTCTTATAGTTCAAGCCTTGGTGAATAAGACTGTGTGTGTTACCACTTCTGATTTTTGCTTTATAGTCAAAAATTTGAGAATTTTTAAATTTTGCCTATTAAATTACTATGATCGGAAAAAATGTAAAATTTCGTGTTCTCTTATACGAAAAATAAACTATACCACTAGAAAGAGCGTAAAAAACTATATATAAGATAACTTAAGCGACTAGTGCGATTTTCAAGCCGATTTTGAATTAAAGATGGTTAAAGTTGGCAAAATGGGTACTAATTAGCATTAATTTGGTCATTTCTGCATTTTTTAACATTAAAAACTCGAAATAGGATTCGAAAAACGTAGAACTCACCTACTTGTCTTATATACAGTTTTTTACGCTCTTTCTAGTGGTATAGTTTATTTTTCGTATAAGAAAACATGAAATTTTACATTTTTTCCGATCATATAGTAATTTAATAGGCAAAATTTTAAAATTCTCAATTTTTTGGCTATAAAGCAAAAATCAGAAGTGGTAACACACACAGTCTTGTTCACCAAGGCTTAAACTATAAGAAAATGCCTGTTACCAGCTTCTAACATAAAGTTGCCATCAAGTTGTACAAATTGATGACTTGGCCGGCCGTCTATTATATTTAATTAACACTGTAAAGTTTTTTGTAGTTTAGCAGGACCCTACTGAAAAACAAATTATTGTGACGTAGGCTTCCTGATTAAAAATTGCTTGAATTGAATTGAAAAAACGGCTCTTAGCCAATCAGCGTTCAGAGTTTACAAATGCTACATTGTAATTAAATATGTAATCATACAACAATATAAAACTAAGATAAGTCAATATATTAAAAAGTGAAATAGGTAAATTTTCTCGACTATGACAGAATGTTAATGACAAAAAGTATACTCAGCAATTAATTTCACCAGGAAAAAAATTAAACTGCCATGCTCCAGATACCCAAAAGTATTATATAATTATGTATTATAATTATGTATATTCACATTTTGATAAAAATATCCACAGAGATATTCAGGAACCGACATGTTCAAACATTTAAAAACCAAGATACAGGTAAGCATTGATATTCTATTCTCTAAATTCATCCAGTTTTAACTTTTAAGTGTCAGTCATGGGGTTTTTGGTAGGCCTATATAGGATATCTAATGGGAAATTTAATGCGAGTATACTGGTTATTTAGTTCAATGTTATGACTATTTTAAGGTATTAGGTATAAGTCTTCTGGCAGTTTTAAGTATATTTTGTAACATTTTGACCATATTAATAGGTATTTTGATCCATATTTAACGGGTATTTAGGATACCACAAACCCCCCCTGGCTGAATCCTCAGTTTAAAACCTTTGAAGATTCTCCTGTTCTTTTACGTTGTAAAATGATGCTAGAAGCTTTGTTTTGTGAACGTTGAGGTTCATGGTTACATCCCTCTAAAGTTCATTCCATGCTTCAAACACTCATTAATAATTCATAAGCTTATTGGCATAATATGTCACGTGCAGTGGCTTTAAACCTGATAAAACACTTGCAATTAGTATTCTTTATGTAAAGAATACTAATAAGGCAGCATCTAAAATATAAAACAATGGTAACTTCGAAAATAAAAATTTTAATATTCTAGCTTTCGACTAAGATTCAGTCATCATAAAACGTTTATTTTCGGAGTTACCGTTGTTTTATATTTCATTAAAATACTCAGTGTTTCCCGTAATTTTAAGGCAGTATCTATTGTATTCCTGTCCTCATTAGTATTCTTTGTATAAAGAATACTAATAAGGCAGTAAATCTATTGAATTTGTTGTCATGTTTGAATGAGCAGGCTTTAAACCTAATAAATCACTCCTGCATGCTCGTTTATTAAACAGTACTACATCATTGCAGTAAACAAACAGAGGTTATAATTATTATGCCATTGCACGACCATATCAGCTATGCTGTAAATTTACCATTGTGTTTAAATAAATGCTTTAATAATAATAATAATTGTTGCTCATTGGCATTGTACTGAGACACACTTTGCAACAGCAATGGTCAGACAAGATCTAGTCCGGCCGGGAAGGTAAGAACACTTGTTTTGAAATCTCATTAATAATTCATGATAAAAGACAAAGACAAATGTGTTAGGGCTAATTGGTTTTATATGTGATAAAAAATCATGTTAAGTTGCATAACCTTTATAAAAGAAAGGAGTGATTACCTTGGTCGAAATGAATTTTAGAATAAACAAGGATGAAAACCATTTTTTAAATTAGTTTATATAACAGACAGTTGGTATAAGAATCTGTGCATAAAAGCTACACTGAGTGAAGTACAAACTATGGCAATGAAATCTTTATAATTATGTATTATGTAAATTCCACTGTAATTATAGTAATAGTCAACATATTTACTGTTGCCCTCGAACAATAAAGTTCACTGACAGAGTTGATAAAATAAAAAATAACATAAAATGCCACCATGGTAAGCCAAACACGCAGGGTCATGAATTTTTTTGTTTAACCACTCGTTTCTTTTTCAATAAATCCTTCAGGATCATTCAAAAATTCACAATGTTTTTCACGTAATTTTGTTCTTACGGTCATCCGAGAAAAACTTTCCATGTCTAGAAATTCTTCATTAATATCGCTATGTTGAGGCCATAATGGTAAAATGTCGACCTTGTCTACCACAATCGGTAACGTTCTGGTGCCTGAATTTGGATCTCTGTATAAAAGAAGTGGGATTAGATATTAAATTGTGCTCATATGCTTGAGAAATGTGGTTGGTGAGATCTCACCTTGCGCTAGGTGGGTTCTCAATGTTATCTCACACCTAGCGCAATGGCAGCGGTCTTATTGGCTACGAGGAGGTGCGTTCAATCTCGAACCCACCTGCTGACGTATGTTTAGGAGGAGCGTTCAAGATTGATGTTTTTTGGCGGCGGCCATTATGAACAAATTTCAGACGAACATTTAAATACAAAATAAATTAATTGTTTTTAAATGTTTTATATTTTTTTTGTTTGATAGAAATAGAATATTCTGTATTCAAAGTGGAAGAGAAGAAAGATGGCTGCCGAAATTTGTTCGGCACGGGCAGGTTTAAATGTTGGCAATGTTTACGCAGAATCAGTGGCGTAGCGAGCTCGATGATTTGGCCCCGTTATGCAAATTTCAATTCATTATCATTGTTCATTTCATTAGAAATTGATTGAGTTGATACTTTTTAACATGGGAATGGTGAGTCCAATCAGGGCCTTTTTTAACATACAGGCTGGGGAGGACAAATGCCCCCCAGTCCCCTCTTGTGCCCCCCCCCCACACGAAATCACATTTCCTCCCTCGGGAAAAGTCCCTTTCTCCTAAAATTATACAAACAAACCAGCGAAGATTAACAAATAGATAAATAGTAAGTTTTAGGCTTTATCCTTTTTTAACAAAATCGATTTAAATTATTACGTTTTTCTACCACTAAGTAATGATAAATTATTGTTAATAATTTTTTAATTTTTTGGATACTCAAAATGCAGGAAATAGCATTTCCGGGTTTCAAGTTTCAAAAATTTAATGGGGATTATAATGATAAATTACGGTTAATATTCTTTTTTACTTTTTGTGCATTTTTTCCTTCTTTTATTTCAAATACAAGTATAGTTTAGCATAAATTTTGGATGCTCAAAAAGCAGGAAATGGCATTTCCGTGCTTCCAATTTCAAAAATTTTCTGACTGGGGAGTACACCTCCACACACGTGACCATTGCTGTCCTCCTCTAAGTATTGATAAATGATGGTTATTTTTTTTTACTTTTTGTGCATTTTTCCCTGAATTTATTTCAAATACAAGTATTATTAGCATACATTTTGGAGCAAATTTGGATGCT